GGCACACCACAGATCTGGGCTGTGTGGCACTCTCAGCCCTGAGTTAGCAGCTGGCCTGATCCCTTAAGGACATAGGGAGAGCATGAGGTGTCTGAGCTCTTAGCCTGCCCCCTATCTGTGTACCACACACTCCGGTACACTTGTCACCACATCCTTGTGGCCCCAGCCATGCTCCCCACCACAGCAGCTGACAGCTTTTGCACAAGGCGAGCAGGCCCTGGGCCTAGGGAAGAGGGAATGTAGGCAAATTGGACTCACTCCAAAGATCTCAAAATACAGCTGGAGGGGCAGATTCACACAGAAAATATAGAATAAAGCAGTCAGTGTGTTAAAGAAACAGAATGGATCCTACAAGGAGTAGGTCAGATGGGGATATGTCAGGCAGTGTGGCCAGGGACAAAGAGAGACATGCTCTGCAGAGGGACACGCACTCAGAGGAACCCACCCCAGACATGTGTTGTCTGTAGATTCCTCAGCCTGTGGGTGGCAGGCCAGGGCAGGCAGAGGCACATAGGAGGGAAGTCACACTTGTCCTTCCAGAGTGTGCAAGGGAGGAGGCAGGAGGCCACAAGCCCGTCTTCAGAACGCAGTGGTACGGTGACAACTCACCTTGAGACAAGATGAAGAGCATCCCATAATTAAGGTGCACTGTGCCCGCAGAGAGGATCTTGGCGCTCAGCTCCGGAGAAGGCTGGTCCAGAGCATGCTTGTTTGATACATTCTTTTTCAGAGACAACCCGCCAGAAGGAAAAGACAAACTACACCCTTGAATGCGCTTCTCACCATCTAGGCTTGGTACATTGCACACCCGTCTCCATGTTGGCCAGGGGTGTGTCAGCAATGTGCCTGTTTTCCCATTGTGTGGAATGTTTCAGGGTTGGCTGTGCCATGCAGGGCAGATGTCCCACCATCTTATCTGTATCGCTGGATGACTGTGACGTGTATTCAGAGGGAGCTGCCAGACACTGGCTACGCCAAGGACATCAAAGCTACCCCCAGCTTGGAGCACTGGAAGCAGAGAGTAGGTGAGATCAGGGGTTTCTTCTAACTCAGTCCTGACCTACACATTGTGAATGGGTGCCTGGAACCCAATCAGCCTGTGACTGACCTCTAGGAATAACACAGTTAATGTTCTGTCTTTGGCCACAAATAAACTTTGTGCATTTGGAGGCTTGAAGTGAAAACAAACAAACAAACGCTTGGATTAAAAATCCTCTATTCTGGAACCCGTGGGACTTTGGAGATTTTCAGCATTATCAGTGAGTCACTGAGAGAGATCCATGCAAGTGGATTGGCAGTGTACACAGAGTCGTGGTGGGAGCGGAAACCTGCTGGCTTGCTCAGCGGACGGCCCGTGCAGTTGATGTCAGGGTGACGGCTGGGGAAGCCAGACAGAGGCAGCAGTGGTGAAGCGCACAGACGGACAGGACAGACACAAGTTAAACAGCGGGGCACGAGAGGCAGCAGCTGCATAGTGCTGTGACAGAGACACACAGAGCCTGTCTCAGCTGTGGGTAGCGTGGGGCATGACACTGACTTGTTGAAGGGATACTGGGCTCTGAGGCACGTGCATCAGGCACCAGAAGAAAAGAAAGTAATTCAAAGCCCTTGGGGTAGAGCATCACATGGTGTGGGGAAGCTGAGGAAGGGCGGGGCTGGGTGGAGAGTCCAGCCTGAGAATCCCTGGAAACTTGGTAGCTCCTGAGGCTTCTATCGGACTTGATCCCTAGAAGCTGGGTGGAGTGGAGGATTATTGTTTTCTCCTGCAGTCACCCACAAGAGCCATGATAGCACCTGGAGCCCGGTAGCAGCATGGGGACAGATAAGGGCAAATGGGGGAAGATCTCTGAAAGGAATCTCAGGGGTTGAGGAACCAGCGCAGTGGGTAAGGGAGAATCTGAGTTCACATTCCCAGAACCCACGGAAGATGAGGTGTGGTTCTAGTGTGCCTACATTGCTGTAGGGAAAGTAACGACATGATAATCCCCAGGAGTTCCGGGACTGACCAGTCTGGCACACACAGAACAAGCAGCCAACAAGAGACCCCTTCAAACGAGGCAGGAAGTGAGAACGGACGGACTCCTAGGGTTGTCCTCCCTTGTCACCGTATGAGCTCTGTGGCAAGCACACAACCTGCTCTCACACACCTAAATCTACACACTCACACCACACACCCACACCCACACACACACACTCACACCCACACACACACACACTCACACACACACACTCACACACACACGCACACACACACCACACACACACACACGCACACACACACCACACACACACACACGCGCACACACACACCACACACACACTCACACCCACACACACACGCACACACACACACGCACACACACGCACGCGCGCACACACACACACGCACACACACACTCACACCCACACACACGCACACACACACTCACACCCACACACACACACGCACACACACACACACACACGCACGCACGAATCTCAAGGCTAAGAAATGGAGGGGATGAGGAACTCAGGAAGAAGGAGAGAAGGAGGTTGCCTGTGTTCTGTGTTTCTGAGCTTTAGTGGGATCCCCAGAGACAGCCGTGGCTACAGACATCCGCTGGGTGCTTTGGAAACATGTGAGTTTGGAAGCAGGGAGAAGACACAAGCATGGAGCTGAATGTCGGGTGGCTGGAGACTTGGGCTGCAGCTGCTCAACCTGGCCTGGACACAGTCTTGGTATGCAGATACTCAGGTGTGAGTCAAGTCACAGTTACCAAACGTTCAGCGTCATAGCCAGTGTCCCAACAAGCCAAGCTCAGCCACCCGTCCTCAATAAGCCAATCAAGGGAACCACATCAGTAGTGAAAAAAAGAAGAAAATGGAGTTGTATTCAATGTAGCATGTTGGGAAGAGTGACAAAGAAATCCAGCAACTTCCCCAAGTCCATCTTAGGGGGTCGTGACATGAAGGTAGGCTTTCAGCACAAAGCAAGAGACATGCATGACTGAACAGTGTGGCCAGGTGTGACCCTACTTGTCATCACTTTAGCTCCAAGTTTCTCCTGCAAGTCCATTTGACAAGTGACAAAATCTATCTCCACGAGACAAGCTTCTCCTATGGCTGACCCCAAGCTCTTAGCCATTTCCTCTTCCTCCAGGAGACTCCTGGGCAAACTTGGGGTCCATTCTTTCAATAGTCTGATAGCCATAGAGGGGAGCATGTATCTCCTTAGAATATATTCATCCATGCCAGACAGGTGTGTTACAGCCTATGTCCAGAGGTCAATAGTCTTAATTGTAGCTAGAAGTTCAGAGAAGCAGTCCCAGTCCCTTGGAAGATTCATCCAGGAGCAATGGAGAAGATCCAAAGGCAAAGCAAGAGGCTTAGGCACTCCTGGAGAAGACGATATGCAGGAATCGTGCAGGAAAACAGAGCCGCTTCAGAAGGTCAGAGACTCGTGGGGTACCCCACCCTGCCCTGGTTACATGTCCACTTACGTTGCTCATGCATTGGTCAGTGCCTACCCTAAGGGCGGTTTCCAACATGGCTCAGTCCTGCACAAAGTGTCCTGTCAGCTAAGCCGTGTGACAGAGGACTCAGGAGCCTAGCTGCATAGGAGTGAGCAAGGTGTTGCCAAGGTGACCAGTGGAGACCGTCCCAGCAGCAATGGCAACGACTCTATGAGGCAAGTGGATAGGGGGAGGGCGTGGGCACAGAGTGGCAGGTCCTCAACATCCTCAAAATAAATGCCACCATGTCCTTCTCACCTAGGCGGTGTCTGCGGGTGGCACCAGTGGCCCTGGTGCCCATTCCTGTGGTGTGTCAGGAGAGCCTCTGGAGGTGGGACGCCTCTTACTTGGTGATGCAAACTAGTCGATCTAAACTTTTCTGACGACCCTGAGGCCTAAAGTCAGGGCCTTTTGTCGCCAGACTTTCTCTCGTCTTGCTCCTCCAACCGTGTGTGTGTGTGTGTGTGTGTGTGTGTGTGTGTGTGTGTGTGTGTGTGCGAGCGCGCCTTGCTTTGCCTTGGGTGGGAGTGTAAGTCATGACAAAGATTCTCAGTTGGAGTCATTGCCTCATCACTGTTGACATGCCCAGCATACAGACACATAAGACCCTCTTCCCAGGCTCAAGGAGCCTTCGAGCTTGTGAGAGAAAGAATCAATCGTCAATTTGTAGAACATATGGGCCCTGATATCTGATCTGCCACAGCGCAGTGTGCTCTGGGAAAAGTAATGGCAGCATGCTGTGGGGACAGGAGGGAGACCCATCAAAGCCAGCTGGGGAGGCGGGATGGGCCTCGCCGTATGGCAGCAGCCACAAATCTCCTCTCGGAGTCTCTAAAGAAACACGCTCCCAAATCTGAGTTATTGTGATTATTAATAATATTAATAAACCAGCTTAGGCTAGATTAATATCCAGGAGCTACAATCTGGAGAAGGTCTGGAGGAAGCCCCAAGGGTCTGTCTTTAAGATTTGCGTAGTGGCTTTATTTTAATTAGTTTACCTTCATCCTGAGCTCTCTGGAAACCCTCCTGGGCAGCTTTGGGGTTCTTTTAGCTGTCAAAATAGATACTCACACTTCCTGCCAACAATAACTCGAGCACCACAGCTGTCTGCTGAGTGGACTTGAACTGCCAATTCCACGTCCCTTTACCGCAAAAACTAAGGTACTGATTTAGTTAGGAAGGGGCCCTTGCTCAGACTTTACTAGGAAAGGAAAAGTTTGTCTCTGGTCTATTCCTGTTAGAAATCCCTCCCACCAGCTTACCAGGGGTACCGAGAGATTCCCTGGACCACCATCAAATTCATGAGTATTAGGAAGGACATAAATTAACTTTGTGTTGGCTTTTACAAAAAGTGTGTACACTTGCATTTCAGTGCACTGAAGTATGAATTTAGAAAAGGAGATTGTCAGCCAGCTACTTTACAAACTGTGCTATTGACATTGGAGGACAGATTTTCTATTGAAGACTGCAACCAGTTTCACTGAAAACATGTTTTCCTCTTCATTATAGATGGGCAGTGATGACGCCAAGTCTCAGCATCAAAGAATGTTTGAAAAACACAGGTCCTAAAAGGCAGACTCCCCCAGCCCCCACTGCCACAACAGGTAGGTGTGTAAGTCAGCTCTCCATTGCTGCAACTCCGGAGATGGTCACACAAGAAGGGAAAGGTCTGCTTTGGTGCACCTGAGTGGACAAACACAGTGGGCCCCAGAGGTTTAGCTTGTAGGGAGGAGGGTATCGTGGGGAAGTTACTGGTAGAGGCGGATGCTCATGGCAGCCTGTAAGAACTGGGGAAGAGCCCCCGCCTCTGTGAGTCCCTAACATCTCCCAGTCGTTCCATGCTGGGGACTAAGCCTTCCAGAGGATCTCAGGGGGACACCCCAGACCCTAACCAGAGCCCAGTAGAACCAACTGGAAATCCAGTATTCAGAACTACTTTCTGTAATTGATGAGCCAAAGGAACTACTGGGGATGGCCAGGGCGAGGCTAATGTTATGACCATTCCATTTGACTTCAGGTATCATACAGAACTGAAGAAACTACCTGAATGAAGCTAATGTTATGGCCATTCCATTTGACTCCAGGTATCATACAGAACTGAAGAAACTACCTGAATGAAGCTAATGTTATGACCATTCCATTTGACTCCAGGTATCATACAGAACTGAAGAAACGACCTGAATGAAGCTGGCAAGCAGAAGTCATGTGGCTATTTTCTGACCATCAGTGAGCATCTCTCCCTGTCTGTTTGGAACCACACGGAACCCAAGATCAGGTAGGGTTACATGCTAGCCACGGAAGCAGAACCTGCAATCCCAGCACTTAATGTGTCAAGGCAGGAGGTTCATGGTCACCCTGGGCTATATGAGACCCAGTCTCAAAAAATCAGAGTAAGGCTCTCAGTGTGGAGGCTGAGGTTCATGGAGAGTGCCTGGAGCATTTTCCCTTGCACATCTTAGCACCTGAGCAGCTACAGGAGAAATTACGATGGATGCTTGTCTGTCCCCAGAGGAGCTCAGCAGTCACCTTGACTGTACCGTCAAACCCAAGGGCATCATGCTAAGTGAAATAACTCAGGAACAAAAGGACAAATGCTGTGAGCCTACAAAGTAGAACTGAGGGCTGGGAGTCCAGCTGGGTGGCAGAGCACTGGCCTAGCCTGGTGAAACCCCTGCCTTTGAATACCCAGCACCACAAAAAGTAAACCGCTCTTGGCCTAATAAAAAGGCGGCGGATTCCTGCAATCCCAGCATTCAGGTGGATGTGGCGGGGGGGCGGGAGAGAGATGAGCGCAAAGCTGGTGTTTAACGGACAGTGTCCCTTTATAACTCAACCATGCTGGAGAGTGACGGGGTTGCACAGCCACGTGTGTATTAGAAATGGTTGAGATGGCAAACTTCGTCTGTTTTCCGGGAGAGGCTTTCTCTGTCTTCGCTCTCTAGAACTAGCTCTGTAGACCAGGCTGGCCTCGAACTCACAGAGCTACCCCTGCCTCTGCCTCTGCCCCCCAAGTATGGGTTAAAGGCGTGCATCACCGCCGCCCAACTAAAAAGTGGACCTTCTATTGTGTATGTTTCACCACAGTTTATAAAGAAGAGAATGCAATCAATGGTCTAATGGAGGAGCGGGCAGGATAAGGGAGAGCCAGGGATCGTGGACTCAGAAAAAAATAAACGGAAGCCAGTCTCCTGGCAGCGGTGGGAAGCCATGCTTTTGGAGCCCAGGGAGGAGCCAGAGTTACAGAGGGCATCAGTGCTGTCAGAACTCCTGCAGGGGTGAGGCAGGAGGGAGGAGTGTCTTCTGGGTGGGATTCTGAGACCAGCGGCAACCCTGCGCTCCTAAGCTCCATGCAGTATAGCACGTGGACAGGAAACAGGGAAGAGACTAAGCAGGAGCATGCCATTGGGAGGTCAGGGACGTGACCCACCTGAGCTTCTGCTGCCTGATTCCTCGGGCTCTCCAGAACAGAAGCAATAGGGCTCCAAGTGATAGAAACACAAGCTGAGAGCTACCCCCAGCACGTCTTGAAGCACAGCATGGTTTACTGTGGGCGCTGTGCTCCATGGGGCAGCTCTAGGCCTTCCTTATTCACCTTAACAAGAAAAAAACCGAAACTTTGGAGGTTGACGAGATGGTTCAGGAGGTAAAGGTGCTTGCCACCAAGCCTGACCGACAACCTGAGTTTTATCCCCATACCCAGGTGACACAAGGAAAGAAAAGACTACTGAAAGTTTGTTCTCGAGTCCCCACACATTCCCGGTGGCACCTATACGCTTACACACACACACACACACACACACACACACACACACACACACACACACACACACACGCACGCACATTAATTAACTAATTCATTAGAATAGAAACGTTGAATTATTTGTCATCACCTTCTCATTACCCGTCTTTTTTTTTTTGTTTGTTTGTTTTGTTTTGTTTTGTTTTACGGGACAGGGTTTCTCTGTGTTATTCATTACCCATCTTTAGCCCAGCCCTGGTGCCTATCCTTCTGCCCTCTCTTTCAAGGAAGGGGTTTAACTTTCAGATCCCTCATGTAAGTGCCATCACGTCCCATTTATTCTTCTGTGGCTGATTCATCACACTCAGCACGATGCCCTCCAGATTCATCAGTGTCACTAACAACGGACTCTCCTTTGTTTTTAAGCGCAAGCGACATTCTGCTGTGTGCCCGTCACATTTCCTCTATCTATTCGTCCACCGGTGCAGATCTAGGCAGCTTCCCTGTTTAGGCTGTTGGCAGTAGCGCTGCCAAGAACATCAGAGAGCAGTCTCTCTGCAGGGTCTGGCTGCCTTGCGTTGGTTACATGCACGTGGCTGGGTTGAGGAATTTTTATAATAGTGATTGTAATGGTTATAGTGCTTGTAATGACTAATTTACATTTTAATGTACTTATTTTATGCATATGGGTGTTTTGCCTGGTGCCTGCAGAGGTCAGAAGAGGGGCATCAGATCCCCAGAATTTGGAGTTACAGGCAGTTGTGTTCATTGTTAGTGCAACCTATATTCTTAACCACTGAGCCATCTCTCCAGACCCTGACTTACACTTTTAACAACAGTGTGCGTGTACTTTCCTTCTTTCCATCAAAATTTCCCCTTTTTTAATTTAAATTAGAAACAAGCTTGTTTTACATGTCAATCCCAGTTCCCTTTCCCTCCCCTGCCCCCCATCAACTCCCTATCCCATCCCCTTTCTGCTCCCCAGGGAGGGTGAGACCTTCCATGGGGGATCTTCAAAGTCTGTCATATCATTTGGAGCAATCCTAGACCTCCTCCCTCCCCCCCCCCCCGTGTGTCTAGGTTGAGAGAGTATCTCTCTGTGTGAAGTGAGCTCCCAAAGTCCATTCATGTACTAGGGATAAATACTGATCCACTACCAGAGGCCCCATAGATTAACCAGACCTCCAAACTGACATCTATGTTCAGGGGGTCTGGATCAGTCCCCATGCTGGTTTCCCAGCTATCAGTCTGGGGTCCATGAGCTCCCCCTTGTTCAGGTCAGCTGTTTCTGTGGATTTCTCCAGCCTGGTCTTGATCCCTTTGCTCATTACTCCTCCCTCTCTGCAACTGGATTCCAGGAGTTCATCCCAGTGTCTGCATCTGCTTCCATCAGCTACTGGATGAAGGCTCTCAGGAGACCTTGTCCCTTTCCCCTTCTCCAGGGGACCATATATGTCTCTCTTAGGGTCTTCCTTGTTTCCTGTCTTCTCTAGAGGTGAAGATCGTAGGCTAGTAATCCTTTGTTCTATCTCTAAAAATCTATATATAAGTAAGTACATACCATGTTTGCTTTTTGTGACTGGGTTACCTCACTCAGGATCCATCACAGTTTTTTACATTTTGTTTGAGTACTGTGTGTGTGTTGGTATGCTAATGTGATGGTTTGAGTATAGTGGTCATAGGGTAACTAGTGAGAGTCCATTCTCTCCTTTCACCATATGGGCCCTGGGGACCAAACTCAGGTTGCCAGCCTTGTCAACATGTCATTTTACCTGCTGAACCATCTCCCCACAACACCCTATTGTTTCTGTTGGTTTGTTTTTTAGTAGGTAACCTAACAAACCTGGTTTCTCACTATAGTCTTAATTTGTACTTCCCAGACAGTTAGTGATATTGAACACCTGCTCTTATACCTGGTCACTATTTGAATGACTTCTTTTAAAGAAATACCTATGTAATTACTTTCCTTTTGTTCATTTATTTTTTTTTTGTAAGACAGAATCTCTCTACATAGCCCAGGATGTCCTAGAACTGACTATGTAGACCAGGCTGGCCTTGAACTCACAGAGATATGCCTGCCTCTGCCTCCCAAGCCCTGGGATTAAAAATGTGGACCATCTTTCCCAATTTTTAAATTTAGTTCTTTGGTTTCATTTTTTAGGGTGTTGAGGTTTGGGATTTTGCTATTTAGTTATAGGCATTCCTTACCTATTTTAGATGCTGAGATACACAGCTGCCTTTTTATTTTGTTGGTTATTTCCTCTGTAGTCACCCTCAGTCATGTTAGCCTTTGCTAACTGTCACTTCAACCATATTTCTCTTAAGACCTTGAACTGACTAGAGAGCATTCACTTGCATTACACAAGATAATCTACTTTGCCCAAAGTCTACTGATTTTAGTGCTCTTCACATCTAAGAAATGTTGTCATGGCTGCTTCTAGACTAGTGACCATGGTTAGCCATGTTAACTCAGGAAATTAACCACACACAGACACTATTGACCACTTAGGACTCGGGTGTGACTTGCGTAGACTGACTAAGCTGGGTATCCTATTCACACCATGTTCTTCTTCCTTTTACAGAGAGAAAAAAAACCCTCACTTTGCAACTGCAACTGGTCAACTCCAAGATCTACCTTGTGACAGGCGGGTCTCTCTGACCTCTGGCCAGAATCTCATCAAAAGACACCAAACCGCTGGCGGGGACAGTCCTGCCAAAGCGAACAGACTATGCAGGGAAACAAGAAGTGCACAGATGGGTTCAGCGACACCTCCAGCATCGGAAGCGTGCTGGACGACGCAGACAGGGAGGTGAGCAGCCTCACAGACCGCGCGTTCCGGAGTTTGTGCATCTCAGAGGCCTTCCACGACTCTGACCCGACTCTGTCCCCAGATATCACCAGCCAGGGGTTTGGGGCTTTTCATCAGGAAACAGTGAGCCACACCAACAGGAAAAGTGGGATTTGGAGCCAGCTTCCATCTCAAAGCACAGAGCATTCTGGCTGGGCGGCCACCTTCCAACAGCAACCCAAATATGTTCAGGGGGAGGAAAAGTACCCCAAAAACAGTCCCCCGACGACACCAGCCCAGAGGAGACTGGAGGTGCCCATTTCTGGTCTGAGGAGCAGCAGCAAGCCCGTCTCCAAGGTCTCATCACTGATCAGATCCTTTGACAGGACAGAGAGTCAACCTGGTGACAGCCGGCCTCCTCCCAGCAAGCCCCCGGCTCTCAAAAATCCCCCCAAGTTTGCACCTCCCCCAGAAGGTGGTGTCAACTTCTGCTTTGATTCTGCCTTTCTGACGGTGAGGAGGGTTCCTGCTGAAGCCTCCAACACCCATCCGAGCAGCCACCAGCCTGGCAGGGTTCCTGGAGAACGAGAGTCTCCCAAGAACCCAGAAGTAGCCTGCCACAGCTCAGACAGCCGCCTCAGGACGCCCGACCGTGGGACTGACTCATTTGAGCCAAGGTTTCCCTCTCCCCCCCTCAAGCCAGCCCAAGCTGAGCCGGGAAGAGGCAAGGAGTGGGCTCCCAGGGGGACTTTCCTGCACAGTGAAAACAGTGCTTTTGAATCATGGGCTAGCCACCAACCAAAGCTCCCAGAGAGAAAGGACATTGCTGAGACAATCCCAGAAAGCAAAGCTCCCAAACACTACGAGGACATGCCCTTGCCAAAGGAGCCCCACCCTTCTGAGTCCAAAGTCTCCCCCTGCCAAGGCCCGGCTAACTGTGCCCAGGAAGAGACCAGGTCAGTGTCTGGTCCTCAATCCACATCTGGGGCCTGGGGAGCCAGGGCTCCAGGATCCCAGGTGTTCCCTGTGGAGGGAAATGCTTCACAGATTGACCCTCAGACGAATCGGAGCCAGCCCCCCTGGAGGAAGCCAAAAACTGGCAAAGGAGGAACAGATGGCCCACATGATACTTTGGAAGACAAGAAACAGCCCAACAGGAGAGGCCTACCTCTGTATTCAAAGCTCAACCCTCAGGGTCAACTTCCAGAAAATGGTGTTTTGGACATGCCAGAGGACCCCAATGGCCATTACAGCCCCCCCTTTAATATCAGTAAACTCCTCACCCCAATTATACCCACCAAGCATGTCCTGGAATCTTCAGACACGCAGCCAGTGGAGATCAGCCCATCTCCTCCAGGACAGCTAAATGGATACCAAGAGAAGGAGGCCAGGGAAGCTCAGTCTCAGGAGAGCTACAAGTCCAAAGCACCCAGCCTGCTGTTCAACCTCAAGGACGTTAGGAAGCGTGTCAAGAGTACATACAGTCCCTTGCCTCTCTTAAAAAGCTTTGATGAGAAAACCAGAGGTAACCCTGACGGCAAGCAAGAGCCTGTAAACAACGGGGTCACCCTTCCCAATGGGCTTGAAGGAAACCCCGCCGAGCTTTTGAAGGAGATGCCAGCCGATGCCCCCAGCATCGTGCACAGCAGTACCCAGAGGGATCCTGTTATCAACTCCAGTGAGTCCTTTACCGACAGCCACCCGGCCCTTGGTTCAGCCAGCTCCAAAGCCCACTTCAGCGTCAATGGGGAGGCTGCAGACAGGAGCCCTAACGAGAAGGAAGATGCCAGTGGAGTGTCAGAGCAGGGTCCTTCCCAGTCCGGCTGGCATCCAGACGCCAGGGAACACCTTCCCCGGAAACATCTCTCCCTGAAACTCCGCAACAAGGAGTCTGAAACAGGACAGGCTACAGAGAAAACGAAGCCTCGCCAGCTGGAGAATGGGCTCTCAAGATCCATCTCCCAGGAGACAGAGCCTGAGCAAGAAATGGGGCTCCAGAACCTACCCTTGAGCCAGAAGTTCTCCCCAGGGCCCCTTTCCCCTGAGGAGGAGGATGTGTTTTACAGTGACAGCCAATCTGATTTTACCCCGTGCCTCCAAACCAAGCCTAAATTCAGCACCAGCTCTTCAGACCAATCCTTTGCTTCTTTTGACGATCAGCAGAAGATGTGGTTTACAGAAGGCCCCCGGGAAGATAGGAAGAGTCGTGTGAGTGCAGGTGACGATCAAAAGGACGAGAAGGAGACCGTGATGGAGACAGATGAGCCACAGCAAAGGGCCTTAAGCAGTGGGCGCGCGGGTGTGGAAGGACTCGGACAGGAGGAGACACAAGGGACAGCTGAAGGCTGGCGGGGAAAGGCGTCCGTGGAGGAAGTCAATGTCAGAGGCTCTTGGGTGGGGGCTGATAAGGGTACAGCCCTCCCACATGGCAAGGACTTGTTTCCCTTGCCAGCCTCCGCCAACAAGCACAGACTGTTCCCAATTAAAGACAACACGCTCAGGGCCACCCCGGTGATAAAACCTATCATTTTGCCTCTCCTGAGGACGGTGTCCTCAGAGGACTCACTTAGTGGTGCACACAAAGAGAATGAATTACCAAGGCAACAGTGGGGCGAAGATGCTGGTGGCCTCTGTGCCTCAGAAAGCCAGGAAATGCGTAACAGCCCACTTTCCGGCAACGTGCCGGGCACACAGCAGACATGTGTGGTGTGCGAGGGCGGGGAAGAGGACCCGGCCCACGCTGCTGAAATTTCTCAGCAAGCCCGGAAGGGAAGTTTCTCTTTTCCACCACTGGTGGAAGAGGAGGGAGCGATGAAGCCACCCCCGGATATAAGAGGCGAAGCGCCCGCGCGTGGTAAGAGATCTGCAGACTCAGGGAAGCTGGCTGCCCCACAGCCCATTCCCACCATTGCTTTACCCCCGGATGACCTAGAAGACCCGCCCCCCTCCCTGCCACTCCCCACCTGTTGGGAAGAACAAGGTTTCCAAAGCCACTTTCTGTCTGCACCCAGAGCAGGACCTTCAGGAAGAAGGCTGGTCCCCAGTGAGGCAGCGACTTCCCCCAACCCCAGCTCTCTAGATGAGAGCAGCACATGCTCTCCTGTGGCCAGCAGTGTTTGGGAAGAAGCTTCCCAGGCTGCTGGGGAACAGTGGCTGCACCAAGAGCCTCCAGGCCCCAGCCCCTGGGCCAGCCCGGGCCGGGCCAGGCTCACCCGGAGGGAGGACATGACACACGGCCTCACATGGGAGGCCGAAGGCTCTGATCCCCAACTCGAGCGACTGGCAAATCTCAGGACCCTCTCTCCAAGAGGCACCTTGCTGGCAGACGCTGCGGAGAAACCGGAGCCCTCTGTGCCCCTGGAGAGGGCGGCAGCGGGGAAGCCCCCTGCAGTCCCGCCCAAGACTGAGAAGGCCCTGCGGCGGGCGAAGAAGCTGGCAAGCAAGAGGAGAAAGAGCGATCAGGCGCCCGAGAAGCACACCGAGGCCTGGGAAGTCAAGTCCTTCACGGAGGACACGCAGGGGACAGAGCCAGAGCGGAGGCCAGTGTCTCCGGGAAAGGGGCACCGGCCCAGGTTCCCTGCGGTCCGCTCCTTACCCCTGCCCACGCACCGCCACTCGGTGTCCTGCGGCTGGGAGCCCGCGGGGAGGCGGCCTTGGGGACTCCAGCCCCCCACGTCCCAACCTCCTTACCCCGCCACCCAGAAGGTGCTCCAGGATCCTCAGTCAGGGCAATACTTTGTCTTCGATGTACCCCTCCTAGTGAAAGTCAAGACTTTCTATGACCCCGAGACTGGCAAGTATGTCAAGGTCTCTGTCCCGTCCTCGGAGGAGGCCTCTGAGCCACCTGTGCAGGATGCCCTGGCTGCTCCCTACCTGCTGTACCCCGGCTTCCGGCCAGTGCCCGTAACATCCTTAATGCCTCTGCGTTGTTCCTCTCAGCTCGCGGCTCCGACCTTTCTCAGGCAGGGCCCAGGACACAGGCCACAGAGCTCCCAGGGCGCCAGACTGCAGCCTCGCCCTGAAAGTCTGGCTGAGTCCACCCAGCATGCCTCTGCCCAGAGGCCCCGTGGGCCTCCCCATAGCCCAGAGGAAGAGGGTGCAGAAGCTCCAAGCCTGAGCATCATCTCCACCGACGACCTAGAGGACTTTGCCACAGAGGGCGTTTCCTGAGAATTGCAGCAGACTGTCCCCCAATTCCCCCAAATCAGAAAAGCTTACAGTCACAGATCCTATCCAACAGTGCCTCTGTCCACACACACACACACACACACACACACACACACACACACACACACACACCTTCAACTCGTATTTAGCCATTTGAGTCCAAAAGGAAGTGGAGATCCCTGTGGGTTCCCTAGAGCCAAGACTCATCAGTCTCCTCCCATAGCCATTCCCTGTCCTTCTCTGATACCACAGTGGGGTGCATACGGCAGGGGTCATCAGTCATCCTAAGAGTTACTGGGCTCAGGGCACCCCCAAGGGTGGGCTTCCTCAGCAAGGTTCCCAGAAATGCTGAGTCCTGCGGTGGGCGGGAGGCACCCCACCTGGTGGACTCCACTACATCCAACCTGGGGTCAAGCGTAGCACGCACGTCGCAGAAGTTTTAGGTCCCTCAGGTGGCACTGGCTAGGGACAGACCCAGGGCAATCCTGCAGAAGTGATCGTCTGTACAGTGTTTTTTTTTCCTCACGGCGGGAATGTTGTCTCTGAAGACCTTCTGATAAAGCAAAGACTACCATTTAAAATGCGAAACAAGTTTGCCAGTGTGGTCCTGTCCCTGGACTCTTGTCTTTTTTCTGTGCCCTCTCTCAGCCCGGAGGTGAAGGGTCATGGACCCTGCAGCCCCTCCCCCACCCCCAGAGCTGCCAGGACCTCCTTCCTCCTGCAACGCCGCCTACTCAGTCCGGGCCTGCTGCTCTTTCAGGGGATGTAAATGAAGGTCTGAGTCCAGCAAAAGAGACCACCTGAGGAGACTAAGTCAGATTATCAGTGACCCAATCAGTACTGGCTCCTGTGTCCTGCACTCAAAACTCAGAGGATTCCTTAGTCCCCGGCCTCCTGGGATTTGGAACTTGATCTACAGAGGGATCTGGGGGTGGTGTGTGAGTCAGAGAGAAGCGCCCGCCCTCGGCAGGCAGCCAGGCCAAGGAGGAAGCCTGCCCAGGCTCCAGGGTTTCCATCTGGCCACCAGCGCTTAATTCCTATTCTGGGGATAGATGGGGATCAAGTCAGTCTCCTTTCGTGTTCAAAATATCAGCAGCTGTCAAGATTGTGTTCCCACATCCTGGGAGCATGGGAGGCACCAAGTCTTCCACTCTCCCCCCCCGCCCCCAACCCCGGTCTGGTCACAGGGTTGCCGTTCCCACCCTAGAGATGGGAGATGTGTGCACAGCTCATCGTGTCTGAAAACAGGCTCCGAGCCATACTCTGAGTCAGGATTTGAATTCAGGACTGTGCGTCTAATTATGTCCCTAGCACGTAAAGCCACACCTGGGTTTCATAGTGGAAATACCCCACAGACCTCTATTCCCTCCAAGCCACTTGATCTGGCTGCACTTGTCAGCCAGATGATAACCGGTCAGGAGTTCAAGTCACTTGTCCCACAAATATGGCTCCTCCAAGTCACTGACAAGAGACAAGGCAGGGGTTGTGTCCCTATGATGCTACCAAACCAACCCCAGGGTCCTCTCCGCTATCTGACTAGAATATGAAAAATCATCTCATCTTGAAAGTCTCGATGCCCCTAGAATAGAAATACCTAACGGAAGTTGAGCTCTGAGGCTCAATAGTTACCGTAGTTAGAGAAATGTTGTTCCCACAAGGGGAAATACCTGGGGCAGTTTGTTTGGGAAAGAAGTCTTGGAGGTAATATTGGCAGGGTCATAAACAGAGACAGAAAGCTCATCAGGAGGGTGTTTGGAGGTCAGGGTCAACTCTTCCTGGATGTAGCAGAGGACCTAGGCTTCACACAGATGGTGGCATCTACTCACATTGAGGAGCAAGGATGCCATGGGTCCCTGGACCCCACAAGCCAGTCCTCACTTAAAGCAAAGCATCAGTGGTCCTACATTCAGAGGCTAGCTCAGAGAACAAAAGGTAAGTTCCCGCCCAATGAGAACAACTCACTGGCCAGTCAGTGACAAAGCTCTCCTTGTTTTTGTTGCTTACTTTGTCTCCCTTTCCTTCCTGTATCCCTCCTTCTCCTCCTGCTTTCCTCCCTTCTTCTCTTCTCTCCCTCCTTCCTTTTTACAAACCTTTGCACTATGACAAACACTCCAATAGGACACCGAAATTACCACGGTAAGATCTGGTCTCTGCACACTTGGAGTTCCAGCATAACAGACGAGGAAGACAATTACCATCCCGTATGTTCAGTAATTTGGAGGTAGCTCTGAGGAGCACCTAGCTCAGCACAGCAGGAAAGGGGGCTTCCTTGGGCAGATGGCATCTGAGCCAAGTCAAGACACCCAAGGTATCGCATCGGCCCATGAAGACAGAAGGCCGCCACCAGCATTTGTTTAGCAAAGATGACACTGATCAAATACTAAGAGATTTGTCATACCATATCAAAGTACATTGACTTAGCTAATTATTCATTATTATTTCTAATCAGAGCAAGAGCTGAAGTCATAGCCTCATGGGATAGACCTATAGGATAATCCTCCAGCTTTGCAACAGATACTTCACTCACTTGGTTGCCCCAAAATACCCCTCCTTCTGCCACTCTCTAACAAGAAAGTGGAGAGAAATACAAGCGGTGTAGTTTATGGAGACTGCAGGTGTGGCCTCATCTCCTATTTAGAAGGATGGCCATCTTCTATGAGCTGGAGCTCCTGGAGTCCCCTGAGAGAGAGTCTAAATAGAGAAGACCTCTCAAGGCACCTCTGAAAACCGTAGGGCTGTTTAGACTAGAATGGCCAAGAGTTTACATGGTGTAGTGTGTCCTCCCCTCTGAGCCTGCTCTCAGTCCCCCAAAAGGCACCTCAATGGCTTCACTTTACTACAATGCAAACAGTCTCAGAGGCACTAGGGAGGGCCTGTGCCAAGGGCTTGAACCTCTCTCATCTCTCGGTGGACATCCTTGTCACCTGATTGGTACTTCTGTAAATGTAGTCCCCATAATTGCCAGCAGTACCTCACCAGGGAGCTGACCTGAACCCTAGAATTCCAGTTTGCACCGTCCCTAGCCTGGGTGACAATGGCTTATCTGCACAATGAGTTCTGAGAAGCCTGCAACCCCTAATGATCCTGGACAGAGTGGGGATTGGGGGCTGCCTTCCAGTCAGGTGCACAGAGAGGGCTGCTTACTGGCCTCCAGCCTGGTGAGAGAGTGGCAGTGAGGCTGGTTTACACTCAGTGGGACAACATCATCTCTAACAACCTGAGCTGCCCCTACTTAACATGAGCAGCTGGGATCATTGGTTCCTTATGGCTGCGACGGACAACAGAGGCCAAGAATCTCTTTGCTAGAACAAGGATGGATCAGGATCTCACAAGGACCCTACTTAAAGCTTTCCATAGCACAAGCTATCTGTAAGGAGCTAAAGTCTAAGCAGAGTGACTTGTGCAAATAATGGGGGATCGTTTGCATATAAAAGAGATCTCAAGGAAAGTCTGAATTGTTTATGTGTAGAAGGTATTTCAGCCCATTCAGGATCATGCAATTGAGCACAACTGTCATGTAGGTCATCAGCAACATGCAGGTATGAAACAGCTGAGCAGACAAGTCTGGGCCACACCACCAGAGCTTGTCACCATTCAGCTCCACTTAAGCCTCCTCACATTTACAGAGGCCTCTGAGTAGAGGGCTCCTCCCTTCATTCTTCCAGGTGTCTTGGGGGCAGGGTTAGAATCCTTCCCAAGATTCTGGCCAACACAAGCAGATGCTTGAAGAAGAAAGGATTCCACTAACCTCACATCCAGGCAGGGCTGTGTAGTCATTCATTCTCACGATGCCTTAGGAAGAGCCTGAGGCTGTGTGCCTTACAAAGCAAAGAGTTCTGTTTGTCCAGACAGTGTTCCCGTGAGAATCCCTGACTGACAGCATGGTGGAGAACCAGGGGAGAGGCATTGGAAACTGGCTGCATGCAGAAGAGGCCTGTGCATGAGGCACGAAGCATGACTTAGCTCTCTTGCCGCTGTGACCAAACGCTTGGTAAGAGCAGCATGAGGAAGGGAGGGTGAATTCTGGCTCACAGTTTGGAGGTACAGTCCATCATGTCAGGGAAGGCATGACGGCAAGAGCACGAGGCGGGTGGTCACGTTGCGTCTGCAATCAGGACGCAAAGAGAGATGCCAGCTGCTGCTCTACTCACATTTTCCCTTGTATTAAGTCCAGGACCCAAGGGCCACTTGCATTCAAGGCAGGTCTTCGGTTAAACCTTTTTGGAAACACCCTCAAAGACACACCAGAGATTTATTTCCATGGTGATGTAAGTTCCACGAAGTCAACAGTCAAGATTAACCGTCGCATAAGAGAACAAGGGGCCACATCTTCTATAACAATTCTTCGGGACAAAACTAGCATGCCCTTGCAAGACCAGCATTAAGCCCTCAGTGGGTGTGCTGCCCTGGTGGCCTAACCGTCCCCTCTTAGGTCCGCTTCTTAAAGGTCCCGTTATCTCAGTCCCACCATGAGGACTTCAAGCACGTGATTCTATGGGGGAAAAGCCGCACCAAGCATTGTTTCTACTTTGCTAAAATGTAGTTCACCCTGTATTGTTTTACTATCTCAGCACATTTCCCAGTTTAGGTGGCACTGTCAACACTATCCTTGTTTTTATGTTATTGGTCCTCTCGGATCTGACTCCCGTCTTTCATATTCATCCCCCCTTTGTGTTACATTCCTTCTATACCCTACAGAAGACTCTCTAGAGGCCTTGATGACCCCTGCCCACCTGCCTTTCTGCCTCTGTGCCCATGGCTCTATTTTCTTCTGAATTTAGAAACATTACACCAAACCTCTTCTTTCTCATTTCTAACCCCCCAGAGTGTTCTGAGTGACTTTGGTATGTATCTCTGTGCTTTTTAACAGCCCTCTGTTCCTCCATGAATAAAACTAAGAGTATCAGCAGGCCAGTCCAGAGTCACCCCAATAGTCAGAGTCCCATAGGATTCCAGCCAAGGTTGCTCAAGTAGGAGCCATGGCTGTTCTCACTTAAACACATCTGGCCCCGCTAGGTATTTCACTAGGAAGGAATCACTGCACAGGGCAATATGAACTCAATGGAACTCTGCCCCTCCCTCCCCCACAGTTATCATACTGGCATTGTCTAGTATGCTGATTTTATAAAAGATGGATAATTTTCTTTTGACCGGTGTTCATCATCACTAATCATCAGAAAATGCAAGTCAAAACAACAAGGAAATACTCCCTCCTACCCACCGTCTTAGTTACCACCAAGACAACATCAGAAAGAGGAGGGCTTGGAGATCTTGTGCTCCACAGGGGGAATATGAAACAGTGTGTGGTCACAAAAGTTCCCCAAGGCCACCTGGTAAAGGCTATTGGTTTCTAGCCTGTGGTGAAGGTAAGAGGTTGTTCAGTCTTTAGGATATGAGACTAAATACCCTGGAAGAAATAGGTTGGAAGAAATCGGTTGCCGTGTGGGGTGGCGACACTGAGGGAGCTGTTGGGACCAAGTCCTCCTCCCACCTCTCTCTCCCCTCATCCTGACCCCCATGACATGAGCAGTTTCCTTTGTCACCCACTCCTACCACCGTGATCTGCCTTACCATAGCTTTGAAAACATTGAGGTTGGGTGACCATGGGTAGA